TCATGACCTTTGGATGTTCTTCTGTTTGCCATCTGCCAGAACAGCCCAGATTTTGTGCTGTGTCCTTCCACAGCCACGTTACCTAGAGCAGCCTGTGCCAAGTCATGTGGTCCTGTCACACACCAGGGAGTTTGCCTTGCTGTTGGTGCTGCAGGCAGGCTGTGTCCCACTCTGCACTGGCTACAGGCAAGTGCTTCAGAGGCTGTGCTGGCATCTGCAGGTGTGCACGCTCCAAGCAAGTTATTTCCACAGCTGTTTAGCTTTGTGCCTCCCTCCAAACACAACACACACCATCCGGGTGAATCAAAAACTGTATGGTAGCACACCCACTGAGTGGATCCTTTGGGGAAGAAAGCAAGTAATTACTGAGATGCTTCTGGGAAGAGACCAGCGTCAGTGAGAAGGCAAAGGCAGGGGAGCAAAGCAGTGGGGAGGAAGTGGGGTGAGAGCAGAGAGATCCTATGGCTGCTCCTGCCATTGGTAAGTTGTTTAATGAAGCCACTAGAAGAATTCAAAAAACCATGTTCCTATGGCTCAGATCCTGTACCAGGCCCTCACTGAGCCCTAGCCCACACCTTGCCCCAGAATTTCTATGCCACTAGAGACAGATCTCTGAAGAGAAGGTACTTGCAGTGAGTACAGAAATTATGGTCCAGAAGTTTACATCAGTTAAAGAAAAAGTATTCACTGCTTCTAAATTAAGCAGTGGTGGAGCTTGCTGGTTTTTGCTCCTTCAAACATTCTTAGTTATGCAATTGAGGGCAAAAAAGCAGGTGAAATGATGCAAATGATAGAGGATGGAAGCAACAGAGACAGGGTGAGATATTCAGGCCAAGCTGCAGCACCTGCTTAGAAATTTAATCTAATCTTAAAGCAGCCTGGCCTGGCAGAAGCTAAAAGGAAATAGAGGAATTAAGGCCATGGCCATGAACCCTTTGTAAGCTTTTGTAAGCTTTCACACCTGCAGTACACTATCCTTCCCTGGGCTGTCACACCCCTGTGGCTCCCTGGCTTAGCCACGGTGCAGGAGTTAAGTTTTGTGCTTTATAAACCCCTCTGACTTCCTACAACTCCATCCTGCCTCTCTTGCAGCACAGGCTTGCTGCCAAATGGTGACAGAAAATTAGCTTTGTCACTTCAATGGATGCGAGTGGTGCAGTATCTATAGTCCACAGAAGGATGTCTTTGGGGATACTCATGAGACCTGAACTAGAAAAAGGAGCTAGTCTCTCCTCTACCGAGTTCCCTCTTGCAGTAAAGCTAGAAGAATCATTCACAGTTCGTTGTAAGTTTACTTCTCATCTCTCAGCTAGTGGCAGATATTCCCCCTCCTCTCCCCCATTCCTCCTCCTTTAATTTGTTGGTGGCCTAGTCAGGGTTCCTGCTGGTCCATGTTCAGCCTGGAGTGCAGGTGCAGGCGAAACACGAGCCTGCACTCTGTTGTCTCTCCCCGCACAGGACGGAGAGGAAGACATGAGCACTCCTCACGTGCAAGGAGTGCCACCTAACGGCCCGTGGAAGAATCCCAAAGCTCCACACAGCCGGGGACCTCTGCTTTTCTTTTTCCATAGACACGAGTATACAAAAACACGCACACGGATTTTCACGCACGTACAGAAATGGAAGATTCTGTCATGGGCTGTCTACCCATAAACTACACTGTAAGGGTAATTATGTGTGTAACAGAAATAGTTTAATTAAGCTCAAAACTTCAAGACAGCTGTGCTAATCCAGATGCAAGTAAGAACTTGGGTATTTCAGTTTGGAGTGTAAAATTGATGAATGCTGGTAAGAAGCAGCTGCTGTAGAGCAGCTGTTTCACTGCTGCCTTCATCACGTCAGGCAGCAACGATCGGGCTCATAAAGGGATATAAGTCAGATGTAACCTCAGGAGATCACTCAGTCCAAACTTTCAGTGGCCTTTCAATTTAAGGTGGCAAAATGTGAACACGGTGTTCTAGGATGACCAGATCCAGCAGTGATGAAGCAAACCACTGTGGTGGCAGTTTCTTAACATTTTCCAGCCACAGCAGTCTCCATCATCCCACTGCCATGAATTGTTCCAGTCACTTTAGAAGAGATGGCCACCTGGCTTTTTCCTCAGGAACTCACTGTTAATTCTTTCCTGCTGTTATCCTTCAGTACTGTGTAACTTGCTTTACTTGAAGGATGTATAGAGATGCTCTGTGCGTGAAAAATGCAACAGAACTGAGGGGCTCCAGAAGAAGACACAAGGAAGAAGAAAACTCTCATAAGCTATTTAGTCTGTGGCACATCCTCC